TTTAGAGATTCCTTTCCACCTTGGAAATATTCACAAAGTAAAATGGATGTGATTAAGAACTGTAGGAGTCAGTTCTCTTGCGTAAGCCATATGTTCACCCAGAACTGTGGTTGTTCCCGTAAAGAAGAGCAACACTTCTCAGCAATCAGGTATATACACAAAGGCTCCCAATTGCCAAATTACAGCAATACTTTATAAATAAATGGAGGGCTAGACAAACTGTCATCAAAATTCATTATTTGTTATTTCTACTGAGTTTCAGATTTTATCCTAACTCCCCAAAGAGTTTAAAAAAAAAATTCTTAATATCTATTCTTTATTTAAAAAAAAAAAAAATCCAACCTGTAAAGAGTATTACTTGCTTTTATATTGTTATAAAGCAAACTTGCAGACTAGTAACACCTCATACCTACTCTAAGAATATCACTTATGCTTCTGAAAAAAAGTCAATGCTATTTGGATTCAAACAACCAAAATGTGAAAGAAGGAGCAACTAATCTCCCTCTCCTGATTTTCCACTTTACTAAGTCATTATTGGGTATAAACTAGTAGTTTTGGGATGTCACATGATTATGCTAGAAACTGGTAAGAATAGTAAACCTAGCCATATGAATCCAGCTAAAATACAAAAATATGACCTTTTATTATTGTTCTCTCCTATTTCTGGGGAAGGAAAGCTCTACTTTACACCCCTCATGGGCTAGCAATAGGTTTGAATTATAGGTAGGTTCCTTTTGGTTACAGCTGTAAAAGAAGCCAACAAATTCTCAAGGGTTTGCTATCTCTTGGGAAAAAAAAGCAATCTAGGAGACAGGCTGGTGATCTCAATTTGCTGAGATGAGTAACATTTACACTAGAAGTCCTGTTGACATTAATGTTGAAATAACCATGCCTAGTGGCACTGAAATTTGATAAGTATTTTCTCCTACCAATTTCCAATGGAAAGCTCACACAATCATGGTAAAAGAAACCTTTGGTGATTAGGAACACTTGGTAGTCACCTGGGGAAGGCAAAATAGCTATCCCAAGGATTTGAGCAGATGAGATAAAGTCATTTTGGTGTATGAAGTCTATTGCTTGGCCCACAATTTCATGTGACCTGTGTTCTGTGAAAGTAAAGGTTCTGTGGACAAATATATTGGGAAAATGCTTTAGATGTGCATTTTTTCTGTCATTGCTGTTATAAAACTTTCATTACTTTGAGCAACAACATGTGTTCACTTTAGAAATATGAAAAATACAAATAGGCAGAAGAAAAAATCATTCATAATCCCACCACTGAGAGTATACTTTTTGTCTTTCAACCTTCACAAGTTTTTATGTGCATATATATAATATACAAATATACCTTCCAAAAATATGATGTCCACATATTACTTAGTAACCTGCTTTCATTTCATATCTTGTTGAAAACATTTTATAAATAAGTGAAGTTCTTCCTTTAAAAGATAGACTTAGAGATTGGTTCAAAATACTACAATCAGATGCATATAACAAAAGATGCATCTAAAATCACTAACAGCAACAGGTTAAAAGTAAAAAGATGGAAAAGGTGTACCAGGAGTACCAGGAAAATGCTTATAAAAAGAAAGCTATATGGCAATGTTAGTATTAGATCAAATAAAAATCAGGGTAAACTAAAATATGTTTGGGCCAGCAGCTGGCATAATATCTATGTCGCTGGACTCCCAAGTAGTTGACCACAGTTCGAGTCCTGGACTCGGCAGTTTAAACTCACACTGGGTGCGTGTGCATGTGTGCCCAAGATCCCGAGAGGAGAATGGAGAAGAGATTACGATGTGGTCACCTTCCTCCCCACCCCCCGAGGGGTGAATTCTCGCTTTCTGTCTCTGTCTTTCTGGCGAGTGCATGCACCCTATAGCAAAAACCTCTCAAAAAACAACAGCAGCAACAACAAAGAACAAACAAACAAACAAACACTAAAATACATTAGGAGTAAGTATAGTTTCGATTACCTTTCAGTACATGGTAATGTTTGTGTCTTACTCTCTTTATCTTATTTCATCCACTTCTTTAAATGTATCTTGATGGCTTAAATGCCTATTGTGCATATCTTCTTTAAGTTCCTGGAGAGATTGAATCAGCCTTTCTCCAAAAGTTTCTCCTGCTTTTCCCTCCTCTTCTGGTCCTTCCTTCTCCAGCTTTTCTTCAGGCTTTGGTTCTTTGTCAAGCTTTGGCTCACTCTCCTTCTCTGGTTTTCCTTCCATTATTTGACAGGGTTCACCTTGTGTCTGTCTGCTTCTTTTTTTCTTCCCTCTTCCTCCTTTCCTTGTCCTTCTGCTTATTTCTCTTTAAATGTAATTACTTTTTGTATTGGTCCGATGAGTTTCTTCCTCCTCCTTTTCTAGCCTTGGCTCCTGCTATGAACAACAAACCTGCAAAATTCTGTCAGGTTGACTCCTTCTCCTTCCTCAGGCCTCCAGCCCCACGGGCTGCACTAATGAAAGCTGGTACCCAAATGAGATATGCACTCTTCTTGAGTGTATTACACATTAGCACAGTACGGACTCTGAGCAGTCCAAAGGAATGAAAGCAATTTACCTTGTTTCAGACAGTACTACCCAAACTTCTCTGATCATGACTCTGAGAAACTCAGCATCAGAGAAACACACTTTATGAATGTCACCTTAACAAATGTGTCACTCCCTAGAATCTTTAGCCATATTGGTAATCCAGAATTAACCAAGTTAACTTCTATAAACTTACATTGACTAAAGTTGAATACTATGTAGTGGTATTTACTTTTAAAAATCAGCATGCATGAGTTGGTATATAAATGGCATCTCAATAAACATTTTTTGTGGAAGTACAATATATTGTACTTCAGGAATACTGTGAAGTAGAGTTGGTGAATATGATATCTGAGCAAAAGAACAGTTTTTTTATTTCTTTTAAATTTGCCAGAGGACATGCACACTCACCAGAGAAAGAAAGAGACAATGAGAAAGCACCTTCCATGGGGGACGGTCATGCCATAATCCCGTCTCCATTTCTCCCTCCTTTTGGGATTTTGGACACGTGTACCTGTGACCAGTATGTTCTTCAAGCTACTAGGTCTAAGACTTGAATTACACAATCAATCAGCCATGTGAGAGACAGCTACCTTAACTACCATGCCACTCACTGGCCCAGACAATTGAAGAATGTTTTATGCTGAGGAAAGTGACTCATTTGTTTCTTTTTTTTTTTTTTTTGGAGAGGTTTTTCGCTATAGGGTGTGTGCACTCGCCTGACAGAGAGAGACATAGAGACAGAAAGCGAGAAATCACCCCCCCAGGGGGGATGGTCACACAGCAATCCCTTCTCCTCCATTCTCCTCTCGGGATCTTGGGCACGCACACGTGCCCGGTGTGAGTTTTAAGCCACTGGGTCTGGGACACGAACTGCGGTCGACTACGTGGGAGTCCAGCGACATAGCCATTATGCTAATTGCAGGTTCCTGGAAGGTGACTCATTTCTACCCCACAAGAGAAGACATACCTTTAGTTACTATGTTTCCAAGACTGCATGTTCTCTCCCCTGAACAGGTTTGGATAGACACTACACAATTTTACTTCAGCTAGCTTTTATTTTCAAATGTTAGGAATAATGCTTATAAATTAATCTACTTAAGTCTTCCTAGTAGTACAAGGGAGTAAGGCCTACTCTGTAGTCTAGTGGTTATGGGAGCCAGGCCCCATATGGCCAACTAAAGTTCAAATCACAGCCTGAGCAGCTAGAGAAACATAACAGTCTCAAGTGCATGTGGACCTGAAATAGAGATAGGATGGAGAAATGGAGAAAGGACTGAAAAAAAAAAAAAAAAGTACAAGAGAGTGAGTGAATGCATAATCAAAATAATCCACTATAAGAGCAATGTATTTTGTGTGTTGCTTGTTTAATTATCAGGGTGTATGCACTCACCAGGAATAGGAGAAGAGAGAGAGAGACGGAGGCAGAGAAAGAACCCCAGTGAGATACGGTCACACCAGAATTCTTTTTTTACCATTTGTCCATCTTGTTGGGATTTTAGGCATGCATGCACATGTGCCTGCCATGGTTTTTAAGCCACTGGAACCAGGAATCAAACTGTGGTCAGCCATATGGGATCTGGCTCCCTGTACACAGTGATAAACTGCTACCATACAGAGTCAGTCCAGCAATGTTTTTTGTTCCTTTGTTTCCAGCAAAGTAATTTTCCCTGGCATATACATGTGAGAAAATACTTAAGAATATAAAGATTAAAATATTTTAAATCCAAATCCTTCAGGGTAGCTGAAACATATAACTGATGAGTTATACAATTACTTTTGACTTTATATGCCCTCAGACACAAGAAATGTACCTTAAGATGTCAGCCTCAAAGATAAAAATCTCCCTTCTGGGACCAGCAGTTAGCGTAATGGCTATGTCGCTGGACTCCCACGTAGTCAACCGTGGTTCGAGTCCTGGACCTGGTGGCTTAAACTCACGCTGGGCACGTGTGCGAGCATGCCCAAGATCCTGAGAGGAGAATGGAGGAGAAGGGATTGTGGTGTGGCCATCCCCCCAGGGGGTGATTTCTCGCTCTCTGTCTCTCTCTGTCTGTCTGGCGAGCGCACGTGCCCTATAGCAAAAACCTCTCCAAAAAAAGAAAAAAGAAATTTCCCTTCTACCTTACTATCTTTTTCTTGAAGCAAGAAACCGTGAAGTCGATATAAGTACTAAATCAGAATTGTACTCCAGGCATCTCTCCTAGAATTGGTACACAAAAAAATTATCTGATTTAACTACAGATAGCCTAGCTAAATGAATCTCACTGGTCACTTTTAGTTTATGCCTTGGTTCTTTGAGACACTTTATCACCACTGCCCCCGAACAATTTTAAATACGATAAAAAAAGAAGAGACTTAAATATGTAAACTATTTATTAAGCTATTATACTATTTAAAATACCACTTAAAGAGGCTACAAAAATTACAGCATTCAGAAATTTTAGGTGAAACTTTTCAAAGGTAAGGTTTTTTTTTTTTGGATCAGCATGTATAAAACTCAACAGCAAGAAGATGCTTCTTTAGAGATTTTTAGTTGATGAGACTCAATTTCTGCTGGTGCTATGTAGAGCATCCACAATAGTCTTATTATATTCTGCGATCTGCTTGGTCACATTTTTCATAATTGGCCGGTAATCACTCTCTTGACTCTTGGTTGCTATGACTAAGTATATGAGTTAAGAGGAAACACTGTCATTACAAATATTAATTTAATCGTGGCTCAGAAAGGAACTAAATCATACTGGTATTTTTCTTATTGAAAAAAAGATGTTACAGAAAAAGTATAATTAGAATATTTTAAAATACAATATATTATCTTATTAAATAGTAACTAAAAACCTAAAAGACCAAGTAATACTTACTTCAAAAAAGTTATATCCAGTAAAAAAGTTTTTTTATATTTACTGTGCTATGCAACCAAACCTAATTCTGGTCTTAGAACAATCTAATATTCAGAAGAATCATTTTTTGTAGAGTACCACATAGAATATGTTTCTAGACTTCGTTCTCTTTCAAAATTATCTACTTTATATTGCACAAATTGAAGTGCTGGACTTTTAGCATATTGTTAATGTGAGTCTTCTGCTTTTAAACTAAATTGCATTACCACCAGGAACATAGCCCCTAAAATACCTTAAATAAAATAAGCTCGGTCCAAGCTGCCCTTGAGCTAAATTCAGCAGCACCGTAGGGGAGAACCTTTGCTACCAAAGTCAAGATCTTGTTCTTTAAGCAGAGAACTTAGATAGGTCAAAGAAGGGAATCAAGGAGCCAGCAGATGGTGTAGCTTTTACTTCACTGGACTCACATATGACCAACTGTGGTTCAAGTCCCAAACCCTGTGGCATGAAAATCATGCTGGGCGCATGTGCGTGTGTGCTCAAGATCCTGGGAGGAGAGTGGAGGAGAAGGGATTTCCGGATGGCCATCCCCGTTGAGGGGGAGGGGTGATTTCTCACTTTCCTTCTGTGTTTGTCTGTCTCTCTCTGGTGAGCACATGTGCCCTAAGGCTAAAGCCTCTTTAAAAAAAAAAAAGGAAATAGAAAACAACTTTTGGGTAAATGTTTGTTATAACTCCATAATACATGTCCTTAGCAGCTGTTGTCTCCTATGATCACATAAAAAGAAATGCAAGAAGATAGGACATAGTACTATCCTAACAGAAATAAGAAATAAATAACACTGCTTCAGCCAGTGTTATATGTTGCAAAAACACTACTCTGGAAGCTGGCATCATACAAAAGGCCCAGGTCCAAATTCCTGATCCAAACTAAAGCTGGTTGGGTGGCATGCACCTGTAATCCCAGTGACTTGGGGTTGAAGCAGAAGAATCATGAACATGCCATTGACCCAGAGATGGCTGAAGACTGGGTTTGGATCATAGTGTCAAAACCCTGTCAAGGGAGCTGTCTCTTTTTCTGTCTTGCTCATGGAAGAAATAAACTTTTCTCTTATTTTAAAAAGAAAAACAAGAACTGTCTGAAACATGGATGAGCTTAAAGGTCAAACATCTTATGACCCTATTCGTTTTCTCTCTCTTTGCTGCCCAAATAGCCAAGGTACAGCATTAAAAACAGCAAATAACAAATACAGATACATACATGGGTTATTGGAATTTCAAAAAGCTCATGGAAAATGCATATTATGAAAAAACTATGTATGGATTTCAAAATGTTCTGCACGGGACCAGCATAAAGTTCATGTCCCTGGACTCTCATGTAGTCCACTGCAATTTCAGTCCTGGACCTGGCAGTTTAGAATCCATCCCAGGTGCGTGTGCACACATGTCCAGAATCCCAAAAGGGGAATGGAGGAGAAGGGACCATCCCCCCAGGAGGTGATTTCTTGCTTTCTGTCTCTCTAGCAAGCACACAAGGCCTACAGCAAAAACTCTCTAAAAAAAAAATAAATAAAAAACAAAAAAAAGAAAAAATCATACTGCACCAAAATAAACTCATACTTTAATTCCATTTTTTCTATGAACTTAAAATGTTACCAAGTGTATGAGCACAGACACACGAGAGAGAAAGAAAGCACTCCCCAGTGGTGCTTGGGACCTAGTCATGTCACAGTCACCTTTCTTCGCATTCTCCATCCTGTCAGGATTTGGGGCATCCACCTCCTGGCCCTATTTACAGCTTTTTAAAGGATACATTCTTTCATCACGAAATTATTTTGCTCATGGTGTTGCCACTTTCTTTCCAGATTTGTAAGCTAAAAACACAAAAGAAAAATGTGAACTAGTGCCCATATCAAAACAATTATATACCTTTTTAAAAGGATAAGAGAAAAAAAGCACTCAATTCTAAATCTTATCAACTCTATGAATTTTATTGCGATAAAGTAAGTCACAGTAGACAAAAGAGAAATTTAGAAAAGATTAAACAATAGTAAAATACATTAATACAATGTTGAATTCTATAACAGGTTTTACTTTATATGTTTATTTTAATTAGAACATATTTAAAATGTTTATTATGCCAGTGAATATGCCAACTGAAAGATAATTTATGATTTTCCTTTTCTTAAAAGAATTTTTAAAAGAAGAATGGGACATGCTGGAAATCTCTCCTTGAAATCTGGAAGTCTAAAGCCACAAATGTAATATATATTCTAACACTGTCAAAGGTTTAGCTATATAGGAGAAACTTCCGTATTTCCAGGGCTAAATTTCCTGTCTAATTCCACAAGCTGTGATAAGAGCAGAGCTGCAGTGTGAAGATTGTAAGAGGGCTGGTAAAAAGCTGGCATTGTTACAATAATTTCTGCATCAACAGGAAGCTAATGTGGATATTATATTGATGGTTGCTTCCTCAGAAGACAATTTTACTGTTATAGAATTAAATTGTTTTTCTGATTTAATTAACCTTGTAACTCTGGGTTATGGTCTTTCTTTTTTAAGACACACATAGATTTTTTTTTCCTAAGAAAAAGACCATCTGAAAAATGAAACACTAAAATAATGTTTTATCTGAACATTTCAAAGAAGTAATAATCATTTTTAATAATATGATAATTGAAGCAAATTAATAACGTTTCTTTCTACTCTCACGTCAAAATTATTTTCAGGGCATAGGTTCAGTCATGATGTAGCATCCATCCCATTGTTTCTTCCTCAAAGATAAATGTAGATATTAGGATGAATCATACCTAATTAATATTATGAACTGTATATGTGGTGAGCTAATATACTAAATCAGATCTATCTACTCCAGATAGGAGCTTGAAATTAAGATGGACTAAAGGAAATAGTCAGCACTTTTTGACAGTAAATCTTTAATAACCTTTTACAAAGTCAAGTACCAAACTTTTTTCTCTCTGTTTCATAAAAAGTGGTATCCTTAAAACACAGATGATCTCTTAAAGTGCTACAAGAATAATGCTATAAAAGCAATACTACGGTTGGTCAAATGTCTTTTACATTACACATATATATTACTGGCTTGTCTTTAAACCTTCAAAAACATCATGAAGCACAAATCATTTTGAAAATCCATTTTTCTCTTAAATTACTTAAATAACTTATGTAAAATTATTTCTAGATGTCCAAAACCAGTTTTGTTTTATAGTTTTGTTATAGAGTGCCTGCACTTGCCAAAGAGAGAGACAGAGAGACAAAGTGAGAAATCACCCTATAGGGATATGGCCACATAGAAATCTCTGCATGTTGAATGATGAATGGATTGAAAAAGTCTATGGGACACTACTCAGTCATAAAAAAAAACAACATCCTGACATTTAATAGAAAGTGGACGAATATGGAAGATATTCCACTTAAATATGGAAGATTTAGTTCTAAGTGAAGAATTACTTCTAAGTGAAAGAGAGACACTGTATGTCTTCACTTAACTTATGCCACTGTCTGCACGCTATGGACAGTGGACAGAAGCATGGAAAATAGGGATACTGAAGACAGCGTGGGAAGAAGGTGGGAGAAGGAGGAGAGTATAAGGAAAGAAATTAAGAGTATGAGGAAAACAATAGAGAGGAAAGAAATTTATGGGACACAGATATGGATGATTATCTGTTGATGATAAGATGTATAGTATCCTCAACTGGACTGGTGTGATGTATATTCATACTAGGCAAATTCACTTTATAACCTACGTGATGTATAGGGATTGAATATATAAAATAAATTTTAAAAAAATTTTAAAAACCTAGTTTTTAAGAAAATAGTTGCAAAAGATAGAGAGACCTGGATTTGTTTGATTAGGTGGGATTCACAAAGGACAATGAGTAATACAGAGAAGAATTTAAAATCAGGGCTTATGTTATGATTTCCCATTATCAATATTTGGAGTTAAGAATATGATCAGTGGGACCAGCAGATGGCATAGCAGTTATGTCACTAGACTCCCACATGGCTAACTGCAGTTCACATCTCAGACCTGGTAGCTTGATAATCACTCCGGGCACATCTACTAGGTACCAACCAATAACACAGTGCTAGAGATAAGGGAATGAGACAGACAAGACAGTTGTTTCTGCCTTCTCAGCACTTGTAATCGAGACCTCAAATACTGTTTAGATCACTATCAGCAGGGTGAGTGATATGAAAAGGAATGTGTAGGTATATGTCTGTGCATCCTATGTAAATAGTTGGAGATGTGAATCAAGAAGTACAAGGATAGGATTGCTTTTATAACATAATTTGAACAGTTTTAAAATTAAAAATTACCTAAATGTCCAATAATAGGGAATTGTTTCAGTAAATTATGCTATAACCATGTAGTAGAATATTAAATAGCAATTAAAAATCATATCTTTAAAAAAAAACTAGGGCCAGCATATGGCATAATGGTTACATCATTGGACTTCTATGTAGTAGACAACAATTCAAGTCACAGACCCGGGAGTTTAAAACTCGCCAGGCGCATGTGCATGCGTGCCCAAAATCCCAAGAGGAGAATGGAGAAGGGACTACAGCATGGCCATCCCCGCTGGGGAGTGACTTCTCACTTTCTGTCTCTCTGGTAAGCACATGCACCCTATAGCCAAAATCTCTAAAAAAGGGGAAAAAAATTTCTATTGACAAATTATGATATACAGTTAATAATAAAAACTAAGCTCCCAAATAATATGTACAATATGATATCATTTTTTATAAGTACATGGAAATACATATGTACATATAGGTAGAAATACATGTGCACACACAACATATGTACAGACTAAAAAGATCCACACCAAGAAGACAAGAATTATCTTTTCTGTGTGGTGGAATGTTAGTCATTAGTGTTTACTTGTATTTTTTATGGAATATCAAAATTTCTGCATATTAGAAATGCTTTACTTTTGAAACCTGTAAAGCTATTATCTAGCATATTATATTATTGAAAGTTGTGCCAGTGCCAGCATAGAGCTAGCCTTCAATATTGGTTTACAGAAGGTAAGAAAATTAGTTAGCTGGTGGCATGGTGGTTAAAATGTTTGATGGCTGACCATACAGTTTAAGTCTCAGACGCCACAGCTTGAAAAAAAAAATGCAGGGTGTATATATAATGTGTGCCCAAAATCCTGAAAGGAGGGAGAAATGAAGGAAAAGAGATTGTGCCTTGACCAGCCCCCAACCCCAGGAAGGAGATGCTTTGAAATCCCCACCCACCCTTCTCTCTGTCTCTCTCCAGCAAGCACATGTACCCTTTAGCAAATTAAAAGAAAAAAAAAGTAAGAAAGCTAGAGTTAATTCACTCTGAATGAAGACTGTACAGAATCTGGCTGTCTGCAAAGGCAGGCTATCTGGAAGGTTCATAAAGCAGTTTTTGTCTTTTTTTTTAAAGTGCTGTCTCGGTGAAAAATAAATCAAAAGAACAGGTCAGATACCCTAAAAGGAGAAATGAATTCCAAAGTTATTCTTAAGAACTTTTTTACCTGAGAATGTGTCTCATTTTCTTGCAACTGTGTTTTCAGTGTTTCATACTCTGTGTTTAGCTTCTCCATTATTTTCTTAAAAGTGTTTCTACGGGTTGATAATACCACTCTCTCCTGATGTAATTTCTAGATGGATCAAAACGGAGCAAATAACAGGCCATAGCAAGTATCTATACAAATATAAATTGTATTTGACCTAAATCATTTCAATGACTATTGTGATAAAATCTTACCAAACTATAATTACCTTAAAACCTATAGAAATATCCAATATTGACTGTATTAATCACTTTACTAATGCTACCATATCTGTCCCTAACCCACCAAATTTACTTTAAATCAATAAAAACAGCAATAGAAAGTTCACTAACAAATTTTAAATAGAGAAATGTCATAATCAAATGTAGACTTAACACAGCTCACATTTGTTGAAATGGTCTATATTAAGTTACATATACTTGCTTTTCATTTTTTTCCTTTTGTTTAAAACTTTAAGTCACTCGCGGCTGTGGGTCTCCCGCCACCCCCGGGGACCCCGCGCCGAACTAGCGAGGCAGCGGCGGGCGGAGTAGGCCCTGCGCTGGCCCCA